TCTCTCTCTGTAGCAACGTCGTAATCTAATGTGTCACAAGTACACTTTATATATATAACCATACTTTATATACATTATACTAGCCGACCCATGGAAGACTTCCACGAACTCTTTGATACGAGTTCCCGAGTTCCTTCGGCGGCCCAAAAACTCAGTCGCTCTCTGAACGCTATAGGCAGCTGCCCAACTCCGAATGAAGAACATCTGTGAAGAGTCGATTCGTAACGTGAATACGGATGCCTCATGCAGGCATGCATACGAGCATTCTTTCAATACGTCAATACGGCGTCGGTCAGATATCCCATTCATGAATGAAGACATTTTGCTTTTTCGGTCTCCTGCCGTCTGGATTTTTACTTATCATCGGGGTATGATTTGACCTCGTAGTCCCTTGGTTTCTCTTTCTAGACTGTAGGTGGGAGTAACGAGAAACAACGGCTTACACTCGCCGCTCCTCGCCCTGTTCTCCGTTCATTTCATTCGCCACCGCGTGCTCCTCCGGGCATGCGGGTTGCCTGAATGGCAGGAATACCTGGGAATCACCTGAAAAAGGTATACTTTCTTCCCTTTTCTGGGAGAGTCTGGTGGAGAAGTTCATGGTGATACAGTCGTACTACGGGAATTTACACCATGTCTGTAGTTTTAGGAGTCAGACACGCCGTGCACTGAATTGCCTTTTCATAGGAGGGACCACGTGCACTAACAAAGTTTCATTTTCTTTCTCTTTCCCATGAAGTCATCTTGGAAATTGAACTTTCCTCCATCTCTCTCTTTCGAGCCAGAGTTTTCTGGAGTCTCTTTGGACTGATGTTACCTCTGAAGACCGATTTATTGGAGAATACGAATTTCTTTCCCTGATTTAGGTGGGGAAAGATCGGTTACCGTATGGAAGATAACGGGGACTAATTTCAGCTGTTTCAGGAATTGGCCTGATATAGCGACTACTTTGGCGCCATCTAGCGTCGGTTGTGCAAACCTTTGCTTCAAGCAATTGTCAGATGGATACTATTGACTATCTCGAGGGAAACATCCTTAACGTTCAACGAATGTCCTTCAAATGCAGCATGTTTTGCAACGAAACGGCATCTTAACTAAGCTCCAAAATAGGTGCTCTTTCTTGTACCTTGGACGTCCAAAAACCTCTTTGAAAACACGTTGAACGTCCTCGAGAGCGTTTTTGTGCTCCTTGGGCAATGTCATTGTATAAATCCTGCAGGTCTCATTTAACCCATGATTATCCTTGGCATCCGATTATGAAAATGGGGCATTGTGCCAATAAAGATGAATAAAGATAATTTAATGAAATCCCAGAGCCGAAACGGTAATGCACAACTGAGCGCGTCTATGTCATTTATCAAAGCTCATTTCACCTGTCATTCCACGTGGCACCTCAGCACGTCAATGGAGCATGGTGCCCATAAAACAAAAAAATTCCCCTATTCTACATAGGGCTGTAGTTCGGAAGCAGTATGCCATGAGGAGCGTAGCTCCCGGTCCTAGCGAGAGTGTTTCCCACTGCATTCTACAATATGCCTTTTCGGTATCGGCGTACAGACGCGAGACCGCAACAACGGGAAATGAACCGCTCAAATGTGGGGGGGGGGGGGGGCCAAGTCTCAGACGCATCAACGGCTAGCATCGTACATCGGTTCATACGAATGGAGGAAGATAGGGAACATGTACCAAACAGAACAGTCACGTTTCTCGAACCACTTTTTTTTATTACTTCAAGCTGGGTATCCCATAGATTATACTTTTAATTTTTTTTTTGCCATCCAACAATGCGACTGCGATACGAGAAAGCAATGCAACCTTTGAAGAACTCTCGCCCTCGTCGGCTACCTTGCGTCGTTCTTGAGCGCTTTCAAAGGACTGAAGATGATGTAAGCAGTGTCAAAAGAACCTGCCATTCTGCAATTTGAGAGATGAATTCCACGGGAGAAACTGCGGTGATGCGGTCTTTGCCCGTGAGAACGCAAGTGGCAACGAACTGACAAATTGGCACGTATTTCATCATATTCGGTTAAAATCCCTGGATTCCGGGCAGCGGGCGGGAGGCACTGCATTGAGCGATGCCACCGTTCCTTTGAGAGTACCAGGACGACTCTCGGTTCCTCGTTCATCCGAGAGATGGCGAGACGAGAGCGAATCTGCTATTTTCCGTGAAAGTTGCCTCCCCTCCCTTTCGTGAGGCCGATTTGCAAATTTCATTTCTTAAAGGCACATCATCGGATGATAAGGAAGAGTTCTGTCGAAGCCCCAAGTTCAAATCTCGAAGCGTCACACTCACTCGCACTAACACACAATTCTCGCTTGGCCAAGAGGGCAGTCAGGATCGCGCAAGCTATATGTTTAAATTCTGAACCTTGGTTGCTTCGCAATCGAGGTCCTCCGGTTTGAATGATGATTCTCAAAACTTTTGGAGTGCCCTACGTACAAGCTGAGAGTAGTTATCAAGTAGAAGGCCATTATAAATACTCACCAAATACAATTACTGGTCAAGATAAGACTTTCAAAAATAGTTAACCGTGAATGATTCTCACCTTTGCATAGCTAGGCATAGCCATACAATTCCCAATTGCGTCTTGCTGTCATCAGTTATAGCCTCATATGCCATTGTCAACGTCATTTGATTTTTTCCCCATCACCTATTCCTTTGCCTGGATATCACTTCCATGACTGATTGTGATATCCACGTTTGATCTCCAAAGTTGCACCCAGATCGAATACGAGTATCTCATAGTGATTAAAGTTGGCACATTCGTTGTCAAGCCGGTTGACTTTATTGGCAAGAAATGCCAAGAAAGCCTACCCAGATCAAAAGAAGTTTCTGCGTACGACCTTTTGTCTTCTTCCAAGGCTATTTCCTCTTTACACAATACATCTTCACTTTAAAATTTACACAGAAGCAAGACTATTCAAAGCGGTCTGGTTCTCCAGGGTCCAAAATTCCACAACTATTTGGGAGGCTGGGGAACCCCCACAAGGCCTCCACCACCTTAATCAACCTCTACATTAAATCATCTCTCGGCATTTCGTTTCGTTTCAACATTCCTTTTGATTCTTTTAATCTCCTCTATGTCGCTAATTGGCTCCTCCCTAGTTCCTTAAGCCTCTCCTCCAATTTGCAAACTCGACATGTCTGGCACACCTCTCTCCCACCAGTCCCAGCAACCCAATCTCGGCATCGAACGCTTTTAATCTTCCTAAGAATGCTACTTCAGTTTTTGAGCACTTTCGGCAAATTATTAAATAATCGTATGCTATCGAGGAATTAGTACTAACTTTGAACCATGATGGCTAACCTCACAGCTCCGGAGAAAAAGAAAAGGAGCTGCCATGACACTTGGATTATCCCGAAAACTAAGGACACACCCCCCCTGCTTCAGGCACGAAAGACAATAGAGCTTATTAATCGCTGATCCAATATCACTTTACCTCGAGGGTAGGTATTAGAAAGCTAAAAAGAAAGATGGCCAAACTACACTGACTCACAACTTAGCTGTCAGACCCTCAATAGATACATCCAACACGTCCTCACACTACGAACGTTCCACCAATAACAGGTAATCTTATCAAGGGAACAGAAAATAATATTTACTGATATACATGCATGTACCTCGATAGCTTCACATGCAGTATCTGTCCTGTTAGTCACACGTCAGCATGTGCTGAAGAGTAGGACGCACACGTTAGGCTGAAGCTGGCATGCGCACGCGGACACAAATTATATTGCAGATTCCCTGTAGGAAACCCATTGGATGACCATGGATGAGTTCAACTGCAGCAAAACCCATGGAAGGATTGGGGGAAAAAATTACAAGCACGTGAATATTCACAGCAAGGAGATGGATAGCATTTCCCCAAATCGTATATCATCTGAATCGCTGCCATGAACGGCAGCAGTAAATTGGATTTCCATATGGAAGACAAGATGCTGAAAAAAATAGAGATTACGGAAATTTCCGCGAAACCGTGATTCCTTTAGAAACCGTCAACACTCCACTCATCCGAATCAGTGCCATGAACGACAGCAGAAAAGCGACATTTCATGTTTCTATCCCAAGCAGGGCAGAAATGATATAGGCTCCGGAAATCTCCACGAAAACCAAAATTCCTTCAGAAGCCGACAACTCTGTCATCGTCTGAATAAGTGGAAATAAAGCCATCAGAAAATCGACATTTCGTACTGCCATCCCAATTTCTGGGGAAAAGACACAGGCTCCGGAAAATCCCGCCGAAAATCGGATTTAATCAGAAATTGAGAATCCTACCTACGTCTAAATAAGTGATGAGAATGCCAGCAGAAAATCGACATTGCGTTCTGCTATGCCGAGCTGGGCAGAAACGACAAAGGCGCCGGAAATTTTCACGAAAACCGTGATTCCTTCAGAAATTGACAACCGATAATAGAGGAAGGTTGGCAAAATTATGTTTCGATATTGGAAATCGAGAGTATAATAATTTCACTCTCTTGAAATTGAATAATATCACTAGGAAAGTGTACGGCATACGGTAGAGGTCCTTCCCCTTTTAAACACGCCTTGAAGCCCTCACTTTCCATCGCCAAAAAAAAACGAGAAAAAAGACAAAAGGACGCCCTTAACTTGTCATGGGGAGTCTTGGAGACGTTCTTTTTCAGTCGTTCGGTTGATTTTTTAAAAATACTTTATACCTGAATTCCTGGTAAATCTGAACATGGGAAAAACCATTATCCATTATTGCCAAAGTTAAGGGCATGAAAACTAATAACTTCGTCCATGAAGGGCGAGGGGGCATGGAAGAAGTAATGCTTGCGTAATTCCCGGAATGGTGTTGCGGCTTTTGCAGAAGGGTTGCAGAATTAGCCGAATGCTTATCGGAAAGGACGATCACGACAAAATATAACCCTTTAAATTCTAATGAGAGCAATTCATCCATGCTTCGAGTCATCCGTTTCGTCCTTTCCTCACGTTTCATGGAAGGTATGCTACAGCATGTTCCTGTGCACACAGACGCCGTCAGCTCCAGTGAAAGAAGGGAGCAAATAGTTGGGATGCAAAGTCGTTGCGGAATTCACAGATTTCCCATATCTTGGATTTTCTGGAACTAATGGGCCCAAGTGAATGCAATATAAAACATAGGATGGGTAAAATGCAATGAAGGTAACCTTCAAGCATGGAAGAATGCATGCAGTAATGCCCTATGGAGAGAGTGGATAAATTCTAATTTCCACTCCAGTAAATTTGGGTTGTGTTTTGCATCTTGACATGCGCTCTCTTGGGTGATGATGTAAAGATGAAAGGAGGGAACTCAGGGCACATGGCCATCGAACTTGTGCACGATCTTGTGCTTTTTGCCTGCCATTCAGTAAGCTCAGACAAAGTGTTTCTTTCATATTGATGATGAGTTGGGTTCAAGATGCTCACTTCCGATTTGGTAGATGTTAGCAAATGTTGGCCTATGGCCAGTAACTGAAACCATATTGGTCCCATCCCTAACTCCTATCATAGGAAACGCAGAATATCCAATCAATGGCTGGAAAGAAGTACAAGTAATGACAGGAATTTCAAAACATTACCACAAAACTGAAAACTGGTGCATGCAGAGCATACTATCTGAAACAGAATTACCCTTCTGAGGGTAGATTTCAAGTCTACTAGCTTGTGAGATCATCATGGATAGCTTAAGTCTGCAGGAGTACTTTATGGAAGTGTTCTCACAGACAATGGACACCTACAAGCATACTCCCCTTTGCATGTAACTCCCAAAAACTGCATTACCATGCAAAAAACTGACCCAACAGGAACACCAGAGAGACATTCAAAATGAATCAATGGTGTGTTGTTTGATGCCATCAATTGGAGCCTCTGGTCCATCATGAAGCCATTTCCATGAATCTGAAAACAACTGGAAGGCAATAAAAACTTCCTATGCATACATTTACTATTGGGTCGGAACAACATTAATTATAGGGAGTGCAAAATGTAATCCAGGACACAATTTTAGTTCTGACTTGTACTAGTGCTAGGTACCTGTATGGTTATGGTATCGGTCAAGATAGTGCAAACATCTGCAGTGTGGTGTCAAATTCCTCATAGCAGGAGGTATTTCCGATCCCATATATTTACAATCAATTCAAATATTCACAGATGACTCTCAACAGTGTTAGGAGATTAATCTGTTTCCATTAAGCAAACTCGAATGGCGTGCATGCCTCTGGGAACGGCCAATGCAACACGAGAGATAGCAGGCCTTGTGCTACCGCGACCGATACACACATTTTGAATGTTGAGACCTGCATCATTGCCAACAAAAATGTCACTACATGTAAAATCGTTGTTTTAATGCGCATCAACACTGAAATTGAGGAAGCCATTGTTCATGAGCACCTCAAGTTCCACCAGAAGGGTGCCAAGTCATTTGAACTTCAAATAAAGGAATCATGGCATGAGAGTCAGCCAAGGTCATCTTGATCGATACAGTGAATGAGGTCGAACGATCCATAACATGCCAGGATTTTTAATAGCATAATGTTGCAACGCGGCTTACAGAAATACATTAGCGTATTACATCTTGTATATACAGATGCCACTTGAGCTATTTTACCCATGACTCATTGATTTCGGATGAGCGGTTTCGCAAATTAACCCCACCAACCAAAACCGTCTGTTTGCCAATTCTCAATGATCTATGGACCCGTTTAATGTCAGAGGAGAGAAGACCATGAGTTCGTAGGCTGCAAACACTGTAAAATATTTTAGAAAGAGATCTTAGATGTTCAGATGCTTCATAACAGGATGAGCTATAACTGGAATAATGATGGTTAAAAATGGAGAAAGCCGACTAATACACACCGACACGATTTATCGAACAGCGGAGAGCACTCATGTATTTTCTGTTTCACATGGGGTACAATAGGTAACCCACAAAATGTGAGGTATCGGCCCAATAAAACCCTGCCTTTTCCATGAACACATCGACTTTGTCACCCTTATTAAGGTACAGAAGGATAGAGTGACCTAGTGAAAGAGTATCCTCATTCGCAGCAGAGCGTACTTCTGCTCTCACTCCCGCGTTTTTTCTCAGAAAGAACCATGTGTCACCAACGTAAGTCAGAGTGTGAAAATGAAAAGCATATATACCATCAATGGGCGCTGCAAAGATTCCAGTTTTGGGATCCATTGCCCCCCCTACGTTCACGTCGGCTTCCTTGAAGTGAAGTACGCTGCCCGGTCTTCCCAAAGTTCCCTGGGCACTGAAATGAACTCCTCCTGCAAGACGGGCACCGGTCTCCAACTGAAACTCCGGGTTGGTTTCCTTCAAATCCATTCTACACATAACAACATCGAAACGACCTTTCTTGGTGCTGATCAGGTAATAGCCCGAATAAGAATGTCCTGCTTGGCGGAGGGACAAACATGATTCTGGTGGATAGTAAGGGGATGGAGACTTCCCCTTCATCTGCTTTTCGTTTTCCTGTTTCAGGTTATTGAAATCAAGCCTGAAATTTACATAGTCCTGTTTCAGGACTTCGTAGCTGCTTCTCAACCCGTCAGTTTCTTTCCTCATTTTCTCTTGGCCCACCGTAAGCGTTTCGCTATCCTGTCTTAGGATCTCAATTTTGTGCCGAATCGTCACATTTTCCTGTTTCAGGACTTCACAGCCCCCTCTCAACTCCTCAGTTTCTTTCCTCAGGTTCTCTTGGCCCACCGTAAGCGTTTCGCTATCCTGTCTTAGGATCTCAATTTTGTGCCGAATCGTCACATTGTCCTGCTTCAGCGCTTCATTGCCCCCTCTCAACTCCTCAGTTTCTTTCTTCAGGTTCTCTTGGCCCACCCTAAGCTTTTCGCTATCCTGTCTTAGGATCTCAATTTTGTGCCAAATCGTCACATTTTCCTGCTTCAGCGCTTCATTGCCCCCTCTCAACTCCTCAGTTTCTTTCCTCAGGTTCTCTTGGCCCACTGTTAGCTTCTCATTGTCCTCTCTTAGGATCTCATAATCAATGTTGAGTTTCTCGTTGACTTTCATCATATTCTTGTAGTCATGGCTGAGCTTCTCATTGACACTTGCCAACATCTCGCAGTCGTGTTTAATAATTTCTTTTTCTTCCCAGAGGTGTTCAATGTCAACCTTTAGTTGTGCAATTTTCTTGTTATGCTCTTGAGTTTTTTCTATCAACAATGACATCAGATTCTTTAAGTTTGGGTTGCTCCATTTTATTCCGCGAAGAGAGCTGATGGAGACTTTCTGGAAAGAAGCATGAAACATATTTATTTTCGGGATGAGGAATGATGCCGCATACATATTGAACACACAATGACATTTTCTCGCTTCATTCCAATATCATGCACGGTCCAGGGCTGCTTAACTGAAGATATACCTAATTCGCAGAGCGAATCCCATGGTTGCTTGGTGTACTTAATTGAATCGCGAAGAAACGATCTGCTTTACTTCCACATTGCCTTGTACAGTGGGATTTGTTGGAAGAATGCCGTGAAGCGTGCGTGAGCGTTCAAGAATTAGTCTCCAATGTAAAAAAAAATTTGATATGAGGATTGCATCGTTAGCAGGAATCATGTGTATCGCAGAGCAAATAATGGAAACGCACGCATTTGTTTTATGGATATGCAGGAAAATTTCGATGGAACAATAAAGACGTTCAGTTAATTAAACAGTAATATCTTCCAATGTAGCATTCAAAGTATATAACCCTGGATCTAAATAATGTAAAAAGTCAAGGACTTTTGTAAACTAATGGCAACTGAGGATTTTTCACCTGACATGCAAGGTAGAGACATATACTCTTCAATATGCAATGAAGATGCCTTCTTTGTAGATAGAAGGGGCACATGCACCCTTTCTATTGTAGGGATGCGGGAGACGCATAATGTATCGCGATACAAATTAGCCCTTACGGGAAAATCCTATTGGATTCTACAATATATCTGAAACATAAAAATCGCATAGGATTCTTATTAGAATTCTATCGCGTTCTTAGAGGATTCTACAGTATTCCTATAAGATCCTATAGGAATCCTATCAGAATCCTATAAGAATCTTATAGCATTCTCATTGAAATCCTATAAGATTTTTGTTTCAAAAATCTTACAGGATCTTTTCATAAGGGAACTCCCAGAGAATATCTATTCTTTTTTTTAATTCTCTGGCTTCGGAATATCTTGCCCTCGCAGCATAACATTGAATCAACATTGATTCAACGTTGGTTCAACGACCGGATGTTGAATCAACGTTGAGTCAATGTCGTTTCAATGATATATGCTACTAGGGCGGTATCCGTCATAAACCCGAATTCAGCCGAACATGGAGATCACTTGGGTAGCAAACTCGGTCAGCCACTTTGGGTGTGGTATTCTGTAGTTTTTTTTTTACTGTGACTTTCCTGTTTTGGATCTCAGTAGACTTTCCATTTCCTTTTCTAGGAACATATAAATTGCACTGTTGCATTTTCTCCCTTTCTGCAGACGGTCTGAGACAAGCGTTTCTTTAAGATTAATGCGAATATTTGGAGAAAAGTCTTTTTTTGAACGTATGAAGTTGAAAAATGTATTTATGGAAAAATTAATGTTTTTCATTTATTTTTCACTGCAGGAGAAGGGAAATTGAAGGATATTTTCTCCGTGAAAAGGAAACACTATTGTGGAGATTAAAGTTCCTTTGCATATTGCACGATTTATTTGTCAAAAACAACGATGACATCCACCTGACAATTACGAAATAACTATGAAAAATGCAAGAGAAGCGTTAAAGCTAAATTACATTCCCTTGAGTTCTGTTTAAGCAGAATTGAATATTATTCATCCAAATATTATTCATCCAAATATTATTAATGAAACTTCAGGTAAGGATACTCGTACATGGAATAACATTAATGAGGGAATAGAAGAGAGACTCACTACTTGTTGCAATTAGTTGCAAAAAATCATCGCCATGCTAGCAGTGTATTACATTATATTTAAAACGGGAGAAAATGGCACTTTCTAAAGAAATGGCACATTCCCAACTATGTAAAGGACAATATTTTAGGTACTCTAACCATTATTCTTGTTCAGGCAGTATATTTTTCAGGCAGTTTAGTGCTCTATCAACATTGAGGTAGGGGAACTGCAGAACTCTCTTTGTGGGGACCACTATCCATCTCAAAGTGCACACGGAAGTGCAATTTGGCAGATATATCCGACATATCCCAAGCGTTGCCACAGTTCCATGAAATGATGGCTAAAGTGGATGGAGCCTATCGGAGTTGATCCAGGAATTTTCTGTTTTAGTGGACTATTAGGAATACAATTTGTCTGCTCCTCGTACGGATTTCTTTATGAATCCGTTTGATGCTCTTTAGAGCCTATTTGATGCTTTTTGAGACCGGCATACTGGAGAAGGAAAATGCACGCACAGTCCATTCACGGTATAGAACATCGTGATTAACGTTGTTTTCTTGAAAAGACAGTAAATTTCTCATCATGCTGAATTGTGTTACAACAGGAGCGGACTTTATGATTGTCAGTAATAGCCTCATTTCTCCAATAGACGTATTTTAGGCTTGAATTCTTTTATCTAGTTTTTTTCCGATTTACATAAGTCTGGAAATAGATGTTATGAAGGTAACAGACAACGAAATTATCTTTTTGATGTGTTCTCCCTATTGCCATGTTTTCATGTTATTTGCTTTCCATGCTCGTTGCTCTCCTTATTTCATTTTTCTATGACTATTCATTTAGCAGAAATGACTGTCCTGTGAAAAATTAGATGGCACATACTTCTCCGTAACCATAATTCGTTGATGCGATAAGCACAAGCACCAATAGACTTGGAATGCACGTCATGTCCGGATTGCTTCCTCAATCCTACCTGGATTCTTCCAACCTGGAAAGAAATGTGTTGTACTTCAAAATCCTTCCCAAGGAGAAAAAGGTGAATATGATATACTGCTGGAATGAGTCAAGGATGATTGAAACACTGTGCCTCAAAAGCAAGGTTTAAGAATGCAATTCCATTCTGCAGAATTAATCGAGATAAAAGCCACTGAGAGGCGTCATAATCATCAAAACCAAGAAGACATTTACGACGCAACATATCTTTGAGATATTACTCCTATAGTACAGTATTTCATAGGGGCGAAACTGGGAGAGTCTCCTATGAAAGAGCAACCTAAAACAACTATTTTAAGTTTAATTAGTATTAATCCATAAGACCAGGCGCCCTTTTTCTTTGCAGGCAAAGGGAGGGAGGAATTTTTCGAAAAAAATAAATAATCTAAAGGAGGTACTCATCAGAATCCCTGCATATGATTTGCCAAAAAAATTTTTCTAAATATGTTAGAAAACATATTGCTTTTGGACATCGGTATCATCACTTGGAGGCGACAAACTTGAGTTTCAAGAATAAATAGATAAGTATATATGCAAGGTTCACATGATTTGTGCAATGGTCTTGTGGAATCGGGCAGGCACTTGCGAGACGACGGCTTCTCAGGGACTGTCATTCAATGAGGTTTCTCTATGCTTGAGTGTTTATATAAATGTGTCTATATACGGAATGCCGATGGTTGGACAGGGTGTTCATTTACTCAATAGTTTTTGAACATTGTTACTTGACTCCTTCTTCGGATCCTCCAATGCTAAGGTTACCGAAAGCTCTAACTCCAAGAAGATGATGCTGAATGACCCAAATCGACCCAACAAATTAAAGTGGCCAAAGGGGATAATTACGTCACTCATGTTCACTTGGTTTAGAACTTATAGTTGGAGAAATGTTTGCATTAAAGTACCCGAACGTGTAGGCAGTTCATTTCCAGCCCGAGCAGACATTTTCTGCGTACAACATTGTATGCACATATACAAACAAACAAATTCGCTGTGGTCGCGCCTTCGGCGCTCCAATACCTTTCGAGGTATTGGAGGGCCTAGATCCTCTCCCTGCTCTCCAAGTTCAGTTTATATAGGGTTCTTTAGGTCCATCCACGTCACGGTCAGAAGGTAGGAGGGATAATACCAAAAATGGTCTTATGAGCTTTGGGGGAAATTGGTTGACCCCCTGATCCCTCTTGACAGCGAAATCGTGGCAAAGTCGTAGATTATGAGAAGGCCACTCGTTAGTTCTCACTTGTCGCTGTCACAACTACAGGTGAAGGGACATGGGTAGCGGAGAGTAGCAATTAATTAACCCTAGTCCGGAGCCTGACGGGAAAAGGGCAATTAGTCACTGGCGTACACTACAATTATCTCAAGCTTGTTTGGCACTTCAAAGGAAGCATGACATGGCCTCACCGCTATATGTATTTGTCATCAGGCTTTGCAGTGTTTTGCATACTCTTCTACTCTTTCCTCATCTTTTAGGAGGCCCTCCATAGTTAAAGCATTGGAAGGAAAGGAGTCAAAGCTAGATTAAATTGGCATTGTAATTCCACTATCCTGCATGTTTAGGACTGAGACCTATGCAATATAAGTGTGGCGTTTGACTTAAGTTTTTGGAGGATTGTGAATGATAGGGCCTCGGAGAATTTCGGAACAAGATCCTGGTGGATTTATTTAATACGTTTTTACATGGATGTTCCTTTTTGGGATACCGTGAGGAAAGGGACATATTGAACAAATAATTTGTATATTTAGAACAGTTGTTTGGACTTGCATGAACAATTGGCGTAGAACGGCAATAGGGACAGCCATTGCGCGCTTGATACTGGAGGTGGGTGGGCCACGCGAAGTGAACCGAGCTTTTTCGCAATCATTATGGTGACAGAAAGGTAATTGGACCTATAATGTACTGAAAATGTCCATCTGTCACATCCGTGCTCTTAATAAAAAGTATGGTTGTATGGGGCATAATATCCGTCTTTTACGCAAAGGGAAGGAAAAATTTATCTTGTATGAGAAAACTAAGTACGAATATTTTATCGCGTTTTGAAATTGCCGCGTTAGGTCGGCCAATTACAAGTGGATCCTGTATGCAACCTTGAGTTTCCCCAGTATTCAACTCGAAGAACTGCCGATTTTTCCTTAATACAGTATAATGTATACGATTCTCTTGATAAATGATCGCAGTGAGGTGGTCATGTAAAGATTGAGATTGGAAAGGGTATAAATCATTTTAATTATCCATTTATTTTAATGGGATGCTGGTGAACAGGGATGAGTGTTCATGGCTTCGCTGCTCCATTGACTTCTGTCCACAGGTAATACATGTACGTGCCATCTAAATGTAAAAGGGTATTGAAAATCATATTTGCTGGTAAGAGTATCCATCTCCTTCAGAATTTTCATAAATATTCTAGGTAAAACAGGAAAGGGGTTCAGTTGCATTCTCACTGACGCGTCAAAGGCCTGAGCGATTCTTAATTGGTAATGCAGTTGTTTTACTTGTTCAATAAATTTCCCCGTAGCCTCTGCTAATTTCCAAATGTACTACCACCGGGCTGCATTTAATTGAAAACTGCATTTGATAGCTAAGCAAGAATTATATTGATACATGCCGGAAGTTTCATGATAGGATGTACATGTACATACACTTGTATGTTCGGAAGTGTAACGATCGGTACTCTGGCGTGGCCGGTAAGACTAAATTACACGAGGTATTTATGATCTTACTGGCAAACTGCCTGATCGTTACTGATTTAGAGAATTTGCTCCCTTTGGAAAGGTTCGTAGTGATCGATACGGAATCGATTACCTTGGGCAAGGATTCCTAAGCGAACTGGCTTCACATAGTTTATATTTATTCTAATTTTGCTACCTAACATACAGTTCCAAATGCTAGAAGATAGAGATATTAATAGTCAAACAATCCTCAGCACAACCAAGCAAAGGCGACAGCTTCAGTTCGCAAAAACATAATGAAGTTCTGAGAAAAGATCAACAAAAACTAGCTCACCGTCGAAACAGCAGCGCTCGCACCTTATCTCGTGATTTATTGGAATCACGGCTAACACAATGAAATCGAAAGGGGTTGCTCGGGCACCAACCGTCGCACGCCCACTCTCCGATCTCGTCCTTGCTATTTCTGATCGTTCCTTCCGGCTTCAACCAGCACTTAGGTACTCGGCCCCAACCGAATAGAAATAGCCAGGTTCCAGATTACAAACGGGACCCTAGTCCTGACACTTGGTGACAGTACCGAAGTCTGGAACACTGTCCTCTCACCTCCTCCTCCTTTTCTGAAGTTCGAGGTCTAGTTTATATAGTGTTTCTTCCCATTTGTTCGACATGCCGTGACATGGACTATGAGTATCTGGATGATTGGACGAATGCTACCACATCAATAATAATCCTTTAATGAAGTGGTTCTCCGGACGAACGTCGATTCCTTTTGACACATGTCTTGGAGCGCCATAGATCAAACGGTATCTGTCCTCGTCTACCCGGTACACTAATGCCACTGAATGACGAATGGACGATAGAAGAATTAATATTGTTTTTCCATTATTCCTGGGAATTCATTAGGCATCCAAGAATGGAAGGTGATTAGTGCTACTGAAGTAGCACCCGAGTGCCACTCGGGTGCTACAGAAGGATCTGGATTAACTGGTTAGGGATCAATTTTCTCTGAGCAGTTGTCTCCAAGGATGTGATCTCATTCTGTTAAGGATTTGGGATAACTTTTACCTCGTACTGGAATGTGGGCACCTGTGATCCGCAAGTCCCTTTTTTAAATCCGTGTATTTAAACGGAATTCACTGATTTCTCTTATGCCACAAGCCAATATACGAGGGGTGTTCGAAAAGTAATAGGAATTTTGAATTTTTTCCCAATCAACATATTCATCATTATTTACACTTAACTTTTCAATATAATCACCCTGGAGTGCAATACACTTTTTCCAACGAGAGACTAACTTCCTAAGGCCATCATTAAAGAATTCCTTTGGTGTGCTTTTAGTCCAACGTTCTACCGCATC